CTCTGCTGACAGGCCACGTCTTCTCAGTTTCTTAGAAAAGCACAGAATTTTTTATTTTTTTGCTTTTTACAGGATCTAGTGCAAACATTATTTTAAATAAGATATGTAGAATTTGATTTTGATGAAATATCACAATTTTACATTTAGATTTTACAAGTTTAAGGATTAGGAGGGTTAAATATGACCTTAGTCTTTTCATAATCCTAGTTTAAGCTTCCTAAATTGCCTAAAACCTAACTAGAGTGGTGGTGGTCCAATGAGACATGTGAATCCTGTATGAGATTATCAGTGAAGTTCAGTTAGAAGAGCCAGTGATGTGATGTTTTTTGTCATCTAGTTTGGAGGATTTGTTGAAACTAGTTCATGTTGCAGCAAATTCAGTTACACAGGTCACTTTGTGTAGTTTTCTATTGAGTCTATTATGAATTTAAGGTGAATAAAACAGACTTACCGCTGCTGATGCAGACGATCAGGAAGATTGCAGCAAACTGGAAGGGTTTCATTTTTCACTGTTGCTGGAGAGTCGGTCACTGTAAGTGTTTTAAAATGTTATTTAGGTAAAGTGACGTTTACAGTGAAGCTGTGTATCGATCTAAACTGTGCAGTTCCACCTCTACACTAAAGTGTAGATCAGAGAGTGAATCTGACGAAGGTTTTAGAAATCATTTCTTTTTAAAGCGCTTTAAAATTCAGTTAACTGTCTATTGTCTTTGTGTTATTGGATGTACTTCGGCAGCAAAGGACAGCTGTAAATAAAATGAACAGTTCACAGATGCCCCTTAAATGGAATCCATCCATCACTGATTACACCTGTGAAACTTCACATATCTCCTGATTTCATTTCTGTCTTCCCCCTCTTTCTCTTTTTCTTCTTTGACTCCTTTAAATAATCTTCCTTCTCATCCTGTTGTTCTTACTTTTACACCAACAGTCTGGTCTCAGCAATCACACGTTTCTCCATCAATGAGCTGCTTAAAAATGAATACGTACCTGTTTGTGTTTCCTTCAGTGAAGCTCTGCCACGACACTGTCAACCAAGTAACTTATATCCTGGTCAGTCAGTGTGTGCTGCCAGTGGTGGCATAAAAGGCAAACAATGACAGGGAGACAGAATTTTATTCACACATATTTCTAAAGGCCTGTGAAGATAATGTTACCTCCCTGAGGGATCAAATGTGGGCTCACCAAGGTGATATAAAAATACAGAATTTAAAAGCCCTGTGAACTAAAGTGTTTTAAATGTCTTTGTCTCATTAGATTTTTCTCTGAAGCAAAATACAACTAAGAGGACACATTCTAAAATAAACTTAAGCTTATGGGATGCTTTTACTTGAGAATTTTATTATGAATATTAAAAGTGAAATGTCCAAGGAGCAGGTTGTTTGAGCTCTTGACACTCGGATCTCACTGGAGTCTACACAATCTGTGTCAGCAGGATTTGTGCCAAAAGTTCAGATTTCAGAACCCGCTTCTATTTGCTCTCAGAAATCACATGATGTTTTCTCACTCTAATTGCAAAAACAGAAATTTCATTTTCAGACTTTAATCAAGGCCTCAGCTGTCTTGTGTTCACACCAGAGGATGCAGAGGATTGGCTTTGAAACTGAAATTGTTGTTTTGTATCCAGACACTCTGACACTGCATCATCCTGACTGTCCAAACCTGCATCGGCAAAGTACATAACAGTTTATAGCCTGAGCTCCACGACTGTAGTTTGATTGTTGAGCAGCAAAAATAGAACAGAGAAGACAGAAACATTGTCTTTCAAGTAGGTCAGATTGGCCTTTTGTAGCAGCATCAGCAACTGATCCTCTTGTATGCCTACAGATGACACAAACAATCAGGCTGGCTCACATGTATCAGGATAATATGAGCCTCCACCATTGTTGTGGCTTCACATGGAACAGCATGCTTTCTTTAACACAATAGCTTCATTAAAAGCACAGTCCTGTGATGAAGATATACACTTACCAATAAACCACAAACCGTTTTTAGACATTATATGATGGGCTCAGTCCTGATTCAGTGTTAATTTCTGGTATTATAGTGAGTTTTCTTTTATTTTGCTCAGAAAACTGCAACTAAAAAAAGAGGCATGCTTCAGATTTGTATTGTCTTTTTAACTGGGTCACATTGAATCTCCCAGGCAGACTTTTTTGTTGCAGCAACCCTCAGTGAGTCCCACCTTCAGACATTCAACCGTCTTGAAGCAGGATTTGTAGAAGGTGTTCTCTGCAGAGAAAGAGATTTTACAATGTGTGACAAATTGCATTTTGTTCTCCCTTTTCGTTTTTGTCTGTTTGTTAGACTGGAATGGCTCTTCAGCTTTCTAAAAATTGACAATCTTTCTAAAAATCTGGGGTTCAAAGGCTTTGGGTTCATTATACTTACTAGTAAACTGTTTCCTTTTTTTGACATGATTGAGGTGATTTACAGAGAAAAGCAAGAAGGAGGGATTTTGGACTTTTGCTCAATATTTCACAACAGCTTTAGAGTTTACAACAAAAGGAAGTAAATCCTTGTGCAAAATCACTGAAACGTCAAATGATTTTAAAACTGAATCGCCTTTTTTTCCTTTTCTATAAACACATTATTTGTAAGTTGACAAGGAGAGTCATTTCTTATGAATAATCCAAAACTAGTACTTAACAGAGACGATATTGAAAATATAGAAACTCAATGCAACAATAGTGAATGTACCTCTGATCACTGCAAAACATATGGGCAGGTGCCTTAGACTTGTCACAGGACTTATGAATGGAAATTGGAGTTTCTGTGAAAGCTCAGACAGTTTGAAGGTCATTGTGTAACATGAACCTCTAAGGAGTCTAAGAAAAAAAGCCTTTGATTGCTCTTTGTAGTGTGACTGCAGAATATTTTCCTGTTTTTCCCTGTACATGCACTTTTATCCTTGATATTTCATTTATTGTTCTAATTCATTTGCATATGGAATGGAATAGGGGATGTCAGATTGTGCATTGTACCCTATAGAGGGTTCATTAAATCAGCTAGTCCAAACTGTGGGTAGAGAAGCAGCTAATGAGCCCTCAGCTGTCATTACCCACCAACATTAATGTGGCAAAAAAACATGGAACACTTCAGTCTTCTGTCGGGTCAGCAGGAGCCACACAGATTGTGAATGCAGCAGGTGGACTTCTCGGGGCCAGTACCTGGGTGATTCAGTAGCCTGACGACGCTGAATGAGATGTTACAACCTAACCCTAACCCTCCATGCTCTCTTTCGGTAGTTTTTTTTAGCTCAGCTCAGACTGGAACGTCAACTCTGTGTTAAAAACTGGTTTTAAAAACCTCAATTGCTTTAGGTTAGTTGGAGATCTTTTGTTGTTTGCTTCTATTTCCTCTGTGTCATGTCAAGTATTGTGAGACAACAACGAACAGTTATTTTCATTGTCAGTACATTAGACAAATATTTTCTTCAGTAATCCATTCATTGTTCAGTGTAGAACATGTCAGCGTATATTGAAAAAGGCCCATCATGATTCCCTTAAGGCCATTTTTATACTTTTATCTGTTCAACATATGAAAAACATATAAAAAGTACTGAGGTTACTATAAGGAAGTTGAGAAAGCATCACATTTGAGAAGATGCTTAAAAATGTCTCAAACAGGGGCGCCCTATAGCTCAACTAGTTGAGCAGGCGACCCATGAACAGGGGCTATAGTTCCCCAACGCAGCAGCCTTGGGTTTGCCTCCCGCTCATGACCCTTTGCTGCAGGTCTCTCCCCCCTTTCCTGTCTATCTCTACTGCTCTGCCCCTTCCCTCCCCCCAAAAAAGTCTCAAACAGCTGTCTATCAAAATTGCTGTAGATTAATTTCTGACGGTTGAGTTATCAGGGAATGTTTTTCAGCGACAGAGTGATTGAGGGGGTCCATAGGAGGCCAACCACAGATTTTTGCCCTTCGATGCCAACAGCGTTCATCCAACAATGATTAAAACGTCCCAAAATGCAACCAAAATGAATTGCAAACTTGTTGATCACAAACTGGATTTAAAATCTAAATGTGGTCTGAATTGTTGTCTGGATGTGCTGTTACCACTGTCCAATCAGCTGGACATAAAGAAATTAATGTCAAATGTCAGTTCAGACAGAATTCAGGATATATGCCCCTTTCCAGATCATTCTCAGAGTCTACGTGTTATCTGAGAACTAAAACTACACTTAGAGGAACTTTCTAGGGTCCTAGCAGTACCAACCTTGTTTCATATATACAGTGAAAAAGCACTGCCCCCCCTACACATATCTTTTTTTTTGGCATATAGGTCACATCTAAATGTTTTACATCATCAAACTAAATACTAAAGTCTATTTAAACCATCTATTGTTGGACATAGCAGGACTAAATCATCCGCATGAGGCAGCAGTTTGACCTCTGAGTTGTGGAGACTGAGACCAGGTGCTGCTGCATCATGGCGGCCTTTTAATCTGTGTACATGTTGAACAGAGCAAGTGACAAACGCAATCCTCCCTAAACCTCTGAGTGAGGAACACTGTTGTACTGTTCTTACAGTGTTTGGTGACATCTAGTGGATTTACACCAACTCTCACAGCCGAGGCCAAGAATTCATCAGATGTTTATTCATGATTTTTAAGGAAAGAAAATGCTTACTAGGCATAAATCAGTTGATATTTAGGTGATATTGCACCTCAGGGTGTTGCTTCTATTGTATATTGTGACTTTTGAGGGCATCTTTAGAGCTTCTCATTACTTTAATAAATATTACTTATTATTTCTGATGTATTTACATTGTTTTATTTTCCTGATTACTTTCTGTATTGACCCGTCTTCTGTTTGTGACATGATGAACCTGAGGAGTGACTGCACCTCAAACTGCTCTTGTTAATTGCATATCTGCCTGCATCAGAAACCATGGTTTGCTCTCTCTAATGTAACATTTAAGAATCTTCTTCTTTGCATCTAAGTGCATAGATAGGAAGTGTTTACGTTAAAGCTATGTTCATCTTAACAACAGTAAAAGTCAGGTTTTCATTCACCATTTGTTTATTGTTTGCACACATTGATATTACAGTATATTACCATTATATCATACATGTATAAGACTAAGATCCACAACATATCAAAAGTAAAGGATGAAAAAAAAAAAGAGTTAAGAAAATAAGATCACTAGGTATCAATAAATCAGCCTGAAAACCAAATAATTTCTCCCACGGAGAAATATTGTTCACTGTCACCATGACAACAGTTACAGTACAAAGATCCATAGATTAGAAGGGCTGTAATCGATCAGCAGAGTTGAGGAGAAACACTATAAGAGGAGTTAAATACACTGAAATGGTTGAAAGAACTGGAAAAAAAATTATAGACAGGAAATGAAGAGAAGATTCAGATGTGCAACATTTATTTTTTTTACATCTCGGTGGATTCTAGCTGTAGTGAATTATACATTATAATTGGTTGACTTTGTGAAAACTAAACACAAAACGTTTTCTGAGAAGAAAAATCAGACTTCATTCTAAACTAAAATCTAACAGCTTTGTTTCAGAAGTCAGGTTTTCATCTCACAATATTACACTTAACGACATGAATGAACGAAGCTTTAATCCTCCTCAGTATTTATTAACTCTATTATTTTATTCATTTATTCAATTCTCAAGCCTGCGATCGTCAATTACAGGTGAGCTGTGCTCAACAAACTGAGGAGTTTGGGCGGGAGGCTCCTCTCTCCTTTTGCGTTTTCTGCTCATGACTGCTTTGAACGCTGTCTAACACACAAACACCTAGACTTTGTTGAACGCACCTCGTGGTATTTTTAATCTATGGTAGAATGGGCACACTGGCACTTTGATGGCTAATCACATGATCACACGGGGGGGAAACAAATAAGGCACGAGCATGCACACACACATACACACACGTGCGCACACACACTCACACACATACTGTTGTCACATATAAAACTTGTATCTCCAACACTTTCTGTCTCTCTTGGTCTAAGAAAAACACTTATTTTTGCTGTGAGGTTTTGAATGTGTCTAAGAGAACTGTCAACATCATGACAATCTTTCTCACAATGTTAAATAATACAAAAAAAAAAGTTAAAAAAAAAAAACAAAACAATCTGGAGTTACTGTTTTCACCTGACAACAATCACACACATACACAAAAACCTCAACTAACAGGGGCCCTAGTCGTTACTTTTTTGCTTATTTATTCTTTATCTATGTACTTAAAGCCCAACAGTTACACATATTTGCTTATTCAAATATGCTGGGTTTAGCTGAGTTAGCAGTTACACACAAACACACACCCATATATACACTATTGGCATGTCAATCACCGCCGTATTGACATGACTGGGAGTTACAACAGGTAAACATTTGAGAGTTTTTTTTTGTTTTTGATTTCAGCTTCAGTCAAACTAAATTTCTCATCTTTTGGTGCTTTTTCAGTCACATCATATTAAGAATTATAGCAACATTACAACACTAATATTTACCCACGGCAAGTATTTTGGCCATTGACAAATGAAAAGACAACTAGTTCAAGAGAACAGTTTGGCCAGGAGTCTTTACATAAAATGAATGACTACAGGAAGGAGACACAGAGGGTCACAAACTTCCGGCCAAGGTCTTACATCACACCATATACCTGCTAACAAAGAAATGTCAAATTTACTCTGAGCTGCTCGACTCAATAGAACTATTTTCATCTGACATAGAATGCAACACTTTGGATGAGTTGAATTGAGACACAGACGGCAGAAAATGGGAAGAGGTTCTTTATATAAAGATTGTGAAAACTGAACGAATAAAGCTCCACTGAAATACAATTTGTCCTGGGTGATCAATAGAAGAAAGAAAATGAGCAACGACGAAGGAAAGGAACAGTGCGGCGTGTTGGAAAATGTAGCGGGAAGCTTCCAGCATCTGTAAGTCGATTCTGTTTGCTCAGCTCTTCTCATTGACATTTAAACCCTAATCCAGAAAGTTGTTAGTGTTAAGAAATGCTGTAGCTACATTAGCAATGTCAACAGTGAAACCAGCCTCCTAGCTGCCCAGAACGTTGTCCTGTGTATCACTACTGTACCTTAATCCACCTGCTCCAACCTTTTGGGTCAGGACAGTTGCAAAAACGGAACAGTTTTAGGTAGCAATATTGTTTTGTCCACTTTACTCGAGTCAGATTAAGCTTACGGCCCTCTGTGGGGTCCCAACCCAGCACTACTTTTGTAGCAATGTGCAGTAAATACACTGATGGGACCAAGATGGTGTTCTGCAAGTCACAAGTCAAGTCAAAGTCTTAGTTTTGTATGTAGAGACAGACCATATTTATGTGCACTGATAAACTTATGTTCCCTTCTGCTGGCTGCTGCCCAGTTCGTTAGCAGGAAAATAAAGAGTTTAGTGACAATGCTCTACTTCACAATGCAATGTTTACCTTTTGGGTTTAGTGAATTTTATTAAACATCCTCTATCACGCCCTTTATAACAGGTTAGTCAAGGTCTCACATGTCCCCAGGATGCATATTTTAAGTTTCAGCTCAAAGTTCTGCACTTGAGATAAAATTTTAAACAATTTTCTTAACTGACAGTCAATAGCGTTATCAATCAAGAATCGATCAATCGCTCAAATTAATGGACTTTATTTTGCATGTTGATAGAGACATTTTTAACAACAATCACATGACATCTACCACTCTCACTAATTGGAATTCTGTCCAAGCAGACTCTGGCTCATCTTAAATTTGTAAGCTCTGGTCGGAAGCCACTGACCACCACAAAAATCTTCGTCATGGTTGCCCATTGTTTGGTAAACCCCCAGAATGCTCTCTGTTCATCAACACAGAACTGAGTGACCACCTACTAGGGTTGCTACAATATTAAACCCAGCAAGCAAGCTGCAGTCCTATTAAACAATCAGAAGCTCCACCTTGTGGTGCAGCCAGGTACTGCTCTACAATACATTTTCTGACATGCAAGTCTTACGTCTTCTGCTTTTATATATATTAACAGCACTTAATCGTTATCATCTTAGTACTGCACTGATTTATAATTTGGTCATGCCTATATTAACATATCACAACAGGCTGCAAAGCTGAATGGCTCAATTAAAGACTTTCTAAACAACAGAGAAAGGTGAACAATGACAGAACGGCATAACTTGTAGGTCTCTAGGCACACTGGGGACATGTGATGATGTTCTAAAACAAGTTTTAAAAAAACTAGATGTTACATAATATGGCCTAAATAATCTCTAATCAAAGGGCTAAAGTCCATGTCACAAGTCAAAGTCTTGTTTTATGCTGTCGAGTCGAGTCCACATCTCTGTAAAGGGTCGGAGGCTGAATTTTCTCTACCAGTAATTCCTGTACCTGAAATACAGCAACGTGATTTGTTACACTGCTAGAAATGAGCAGCAGATTGCTACAACAGTACAGCGAATTCATCTCCTGCTACATTCTCTCCACAGTCCTGCTGCTCCATGCCTGTAGTGAATACGACTTATCTCTCATGAACACAGTAGCCAAAGAGAACACTGGATTCTGACTGGCCACAAGGGTGTGCTTTATTCTGTGATAAACGCACAGCTCTGAAGCAAAGCACTGCTATTCTAAATTAATACTCGATGACTAAATGAATGAAGAGTATTTAAATGATGGCTTACATGGTGCTGTAACAACGAGATAATCCACTCAGGCATGTTTGGTTATAAAACAGTAGTAAAAAGCTTCTGTGTGTTATTCTTGATAACTGCACAAGCTGTTGTGGATTATCTTTCACGAACAGAACAGATGACCCTGCACCATAAAGACAGACGTACAAACCATCATACAACTTGGACAAACTCCATTAGTGGCACAGCATCAAACGAAATATAAGGCAACTAAAGACATAAATAAAACTCACATCACAACAGCGTCAAATATGTATTTAAATGGATATTCTGTGCTATATGTGGGGTGAATCAAAATAAATAAAGAGGCTGAATGATTCACACCGAGGTGATGCCACATGGCAGCTGGGATGAATGAAAACAACTCATAACTACCCAACAGGATTAAGCCTCGTTCTCCCAGTTTGCAGAATTTAAAGTCTACCAATACAAGACCGGAAGACTCAAAGGATCATTCCATGTAAAAATGCAACCAAATCTCAAAAAAATAAATCCCCTTTCCCTCTCAGAATCAGGTCATTTTTATGGACAATAACTTTAGTCTGTTTAATAGGGCCAGGCAAAATCTTATCCTTATAATATAAGTGCATATGAGTGGGTCAAAATTTTGCGTTTTTTTAAATCACATTACTATTTGGGGCATTTTTCAGCCCTGATAACTTCATAAGTAAAGGAGACAGATGAAATGTGCAAAACATGTTTGAGCTCTGATTTAAAGGTAAGGGTTAGTGGGATAGGTGGCTAGTTATATGTCGATACCAGGCTCTTTGTCTGGCCGTGATTCCTTATGTGTCAAAATAAATGTCCACCCCATTGCACCTTAAGGGCCTGAAAAATATTCATACAATGAAGGTAACATTTATGCATGGCTTCATTAGATACGCTGGAGTTATTATTATTATTATTATTTAAATCAGCTGTTTCTGAGGGGGTCAGGTGGAAGAAACAGAGTGATTTTTAATGGAATGATCCAAAGAATATTTAACTGATAGAGAAAAAAACGGCAAGAACTGGAATTAAGTAGTGATGGCTGAATGGCTGAGACATCCCTCTGGTGGTGTACTGATGGAAGTAGTGCTATGGAAAAAGAAACTCAACTAAACGTATCAAGACAAAGGTACAAGGAGGAGGTGTTAAGTTGGCATTTAGTTGGGATACAAGAAATATTCAAAATAAAGACTTGGTTCTTTCTGCCACTGAGGTAAATAAAGGTCCTGGGCACTATTTAAGAACTGACATTTCTGTTCTTGTACAACAGAATATTCATGAATGCTGTTGTGTCAGCTGTTTATCGGGTACCACCGCTATAAACAGCTACCCTGATGAGCTACGATGAGACGTTCCTAAATCACAGTTGCTATAATGTAAGTGGAGTTTAGGAAAGTATTATACTGGGATAGGGGGAAATTCAAAAGAAGTATTATTAATAAGATATTAAAGCCAAATATAGTCAGGGGAGAGCTGTCAAGAATCATACAGAAACTATCAGGATATAGCACAGTATATTACAGACTGATGAGCCCTCATTCTGAAACCTACACCAGGTCCAGCACTCATTTCAACATGCAAAGCCGTGATCACAGAATCACACAGCTCCTACTCTACTGCTCACTTTAATTACAGCATTTCATAGATTGTCCACAACGTTTGGTACCAAGTTCACCGTTTGGAAGTTAACCTGAGTCTTTCATGGAGACACAAACCTCCATTCTCTTCATCTCTCCGCTCTTTAGCTCAAAATCCTACAGGACGTATGTGAAAGCTGGAGGCCACTTTTTTTTGGCACTACATAGAAAAACAATACATCACACAAACACAGAGAAAGAAAGGGGGACTTCAAAGTCCAACTGCTATCAATCTCCATGCAGAGATAAAAATGATAGCCGGCCACTTTGTTGAGGCAGGGTCTGAGACACATTTGAATTTATAAACATGCAGTTAGGAATGGAATTCATGAAGAGTAGGGTGCGACTTAAAAGGTAGTGGAAGCTTTGGAAATGCAGTTGACTTAAATGGCAAAAAGAAAAGAAACAAACAGAACTTGCCAGTCAGACCTTGCCACTGCCTCCAACAACAGAGGCTGAACTGGTGCCTCCACTTTCCGATAAAGTGTAAAAGGATGTGAAGTAAGTAGCTGTTGCATTTTGTGCTATAACTTGTTTCGAGGGTTATTTGCTTGCTGACTAATGCATGTGCCATTTCCATCCATTCATGCCTAAAGTCATGTGAAAATGGAAATGTGGGCCACAAGCTGGCAGCAGTCCACACCGCTTAACGCAACAAGACGCTGCTAACGGACTGCTGAGACAAAAACGACATGCAGTTGGTCCATAGGATCTTTTTAAAGTGTATGGTGTCTTAAGGGAAAAGCAGACAAACCTGGCTTGTCTAAGTGTTGCTGGTACAGAAGTACCCTGATGAAGCCCCTGAGGAGGAGCTGAGGTGAGCTAGAGACTAAATGCTGCAGGGGAAGCAGGTGGTTTTTCAGACTGGACGACAGACTGCAAGGAGACGGGGTGCTGACTAGGTAAAGACAAGATGCTGCTGGTCCAGCAGGGTTCTGGTGAAGTTGTTGATTGGCCCAATGGCACTGAGTGACATGGCGTTGTCCCGCCCCCAAAGCAGGTTAGGACCAAACACCACAGCCAGGTTACTGTTGGTCATCTTATTCACCTCACTGTTGGCTGATACCTAAACACACACAAAAAAAAGGATCCAGTTACTAACAGACAACCTACATGACATGTAAAGATAATGAGTGGGAAGTGTAGTCTGTCAGTAGTACCTGTGCCAGGAATGTAATAAGATATCGTAGTGATAGATAGTTTTCTTCTGGCAGTGACTCTACCAGCGTCTTCATTACCATCACCTGGCTGTCACTGGATACAGCTGAAACACAGCAAACACCAGAGAGAATTAGAGCTCATTTAGGATCCACATGCTATAGGTGTAGCAGTCAAGAAGCACATTTAAGCACACTAGAACTCAGGTTACACAGGAGTTCAGATAGGTTTATATTCACTGTGGTGACCTGGTTACTGTAAATCTGCATATCCATCAGATTCCAGAGTAGTTGCTAATATTACTGCTGTTATTATGAGTAGTGGTAGTAGCAGTAAGTAGTTATAGCAGCATGCATAGAGACATCCATTTGTACTGAAGGACAGGTGGTGCAGTAAAAGAGAATGTCAATGGTCTGCACTAATGTGTCCGAATTTTACAAACTCAGCTGTTTACAGTTGATGTATTCAGACTTACACTCCTTTCAAACTCTCATTTAAGAGACAGCTGTCACTCAGAGCCCTGTCTGCAGTAGGGCTGTAAATGATTAATTATTAAGATAGATAGATGGAGTATTTTATTGATCCACTAAGGGAAGCAACAGTGCTGAAGCAGCACTTTAAATATCACAAGACACACATCACAAACACAACTTAGAGAATATGTACTACATGAAAATAATTAGGTAAAATAAAATAGGTTGGAAACAGGCTTTAGTATAAGGTAAGATTTTAAAAAAACAACTCACAAGCATTAAATGTGAGAAATAAAGTCCCATGTGCAAAGAGGATACATGCCCTCTTTTTGCATAGAAGGAAGTCATTGCACAACATTATTGTGGTTCTAACTAGTGTGGGGTTGAAGAAGCCTCCAACTGAAAACACTGTCTGATTAGCAGGTCATGCAGAGGATGTGAAGTGTTGTCCATTATGTTGAGCAGTCTGTGTATCATCCCTCTCTCAACAAACAATATTATTTGATTGATTGCTGTTAATCGATTAAAAATCCATCCATCCATTATCTATACACCGCTTAATCCTCACTAGGGTCATGGAGGGGCTGGAGTCTATCCCAGCCGACTCAGGGTGAAGGCAGGGGACACCCTGGACAGGTCACCAGTCTATCACAGGGCTACACTTAGAGACAGACAACCAAGCACACTCACATTCACATCTACGGACAATTTAGAAACACCAATTAACCTCAACATGTTTTTGGACTGTGTGGGAGGAAGCCGGAGAACCTGGAGAGAACCCACGCTGCACGGGGAGAACATGCAAACTCCACGCAGAAAGATCCTGTTGTCCTTACTGGGACGCAAACCGGCGACCTTCTAGCTGCGAGGCAACGATGCTAACCACCGAGCCACCTTGCAGCCCTTCGATTGAAAATATGTTAACCAATAACGCAGAAGATGCAGGACAGTTTAACTGTTAGAAAATGTGTTGTAGATTAGGTGCACAACCAGGCTGCACCAACATGGACCCCTAAAATCTGATGTTGGAAAGATTTGTGGGAATCTTTTTCTCAGACAAACAGTTCTGACCGAGGATTCTGGCCGTTTCAGCCACAAAAGGACATTCTGTCCCAATAGCAAAAACCGAGATTCTGATTTCCTGAATGTCTTTTTTAAAGCCAGAAGCCTGTTCTAACCTTTAAATACACTTGGTATAGAAGACAGAAATGCTCTTTAACGCCAACCCAGATACACATGTATGTTGTATCAGGTCTTAATGGGTTACAAAACAGTACAAGCTTAATTTTCATCTAACTTATTGGAAAGGTGAAAAACTTTTCAAAACACAAAATACTATATGAGATACTACAGCAGAACTGAAAACCCAAACTTAATTTTTTTTTAACCACAGCTGATTCTAGACCTGCTTCCTCAAGACTTAATCATTGTGACTGTAATTTCTAGTCATTTTAATCCTAAAAATAAAACAGCATCAATTGTTTGAACATACAGGCAAAATTGACGATGTCATTGTAGAGCTGGTAGGTCAGCAGAGGCTCGGGTAGTTCCCTGAGGAACGTCTTCAGAATCACAGCAGCCAAGTGGACGTCTTCCATCTCTCTGAAATCCACTGTTCCACCTAGAAAACATACCAACACAGACAATAAGGAAAGAAATTCCATCCAAACGGCGTTTTCTTACCCCTTAATCCATAATACAACAACCTGTAATATGACAGGATTACAGTTGTTGTAGACTGTAGAGTGTTCAGAGGCCTGTTGATCTTACCTGAGTTGTACCTGAGCTGGACTTCCTTCACCAGAGTCACATTCGCAGACCTTCTGAAGATTCCCTCAATCTCCAAACCTGACACACAAACACAGCACAAAGTGCAACAATGCAGTTCTTAATGACACACAATGTCCACACTGAAGGTGTAGCATGAGCAGCACAGACGTATAACACTAAAAAAAAATGAGAGTCACTTGACACTTGTGTAGACAGCTGGATGAATTAAAATTGAAGTGTATCTGTTAGGTCAGGTGTGTGTGGGATGGATGATGGAAAAACACAGCTGACACACCTTTTTCTGTAGGCACAGCTTGAAAGAACAATGATGAAGAATGATGTTTGTGTTACCTTGCTCTGAAAGGAAGCCAATGGTGTCTCTCATCACCACAGGAACTGGATCACCATCTGGATTCCTCTGTCTGAGCCTGACACACAAACACACAGGTTAGAACAACAGGCTGAGACCACAGGCTTCCAGAAACTGTCTTGATTTTAGAGCAAATGCTTCTCTTAACACTGATGCTGTGCAAAAGCAGAATCTAACAGACAGGAAAACAGAGATTCTATGACTTACAACTCGAGCGGCACCCCAAACACCTGGTTGGGAAGGGGAGGGCTGCGAGGAGGAGACATGGGAGGCTGGGCAGTCGGTTTCAGGGATGCTCTCAGTTTGTTGTCATACCTGACACAGAGAGAACGTTACATTATCGTTTGCTGTGGATTTAAAATATGAATTATACAATTAAACTTGTGGTTGTTCAGTAATTGTGCCTGCAGTAAAGTAGAAATATTTAGTTTCAGATGGAAATTTCTCAGTAAAAATGAATCCTCGCAGGACGCTGAGGGGAAAATATCAGCAGTGAATGCAGAACAAGAACCAAATCTACCACCAGAAGATATGAAAATGCATGCAGACTGTGCAAGATAACAGTAGGAAGTCTGATGAAAACACAATCTAGATTCTAATATCATTTCTCACTCTTTGACGCGGGCAGGAATCAGCAGCTGCTCACACTTGACCACATCCTCCAGCTCGCTCAGATAGCTCACATAGTTGATCTTCCTGCCAAACTTAAAACTGAAAGAGAGAAAATCAGCAATGAAAAATGACCACTCTGGTTATCTTTGCTGCATTCACATTCTGTGAGCAACTGATCCAAAGGCTCCTTTGAAATTTCCCAAAAGTTGCATCTTCCTCTTTTTCTGATATCATTACACTTAGAGATAAAAGAAAAGGAGATTTGAAGTTAAAGGAGGGTAGAAAATAACACACACATGACACAAGTAATCCTCCAATTCCTTTTGTATTTAGTTTCTGACTCTGATAAATGGCGTCATTTTTTTTTGTCTTTCGAATCCGCAAAAAGATTTTGAGGTTCAGGAGGATCTGCTGAACTTCAATACCGTTGGTACTGAAATGCGTCTGTAGCGGCGATCAAATACTGAATCCGGCATGTTTGAAGTAATAATCATTCTCAGATTGGTCCTGATGTAATTCAAAGTTTAACCAATTTTAGACAACAGACTGTTTTTCATATGTGTTTGCTTTTTTTTTTTCCTTTTTTTTGTAGCCAAGTCGTATTGCTGATTACATGTTGGTTTCGACATTTCTTAACAACAAAGTTTTGATTTGCTATCAGTAATGAAACCTACTCACAAGCCTCCCATCTAAGAACTGCACACTTACAGCTCTGTAATATTTAATCAATGACAGACAAGAGGTATGTGCTGGACAGGTAAGCATGTTGTTTATTTTTGCAGCACATCAACAAACAGCACATCAGTACTCTCAGTAAGCATCATCTTGCTAGCTGTTTGTCAGGTTTTACTGGAATGAAATACTTGCAGCAGATGAAATGTGAGGCATGCTACCTTTAACTTTTATTTCTAGCTGGAGCAGAGTGATACCATCTCCTCTGAGTCAGTGTGTGAAGAGAAGCTTACTTTCCACTGACAAATTTAATGCTGCTGGGTTGACTCAGCTTTGTTACATATCCTATAAGAGCTGCAGGAAATGTGTTAAGTTTAAGACACACAACTACCAGTGTTGTTGTATTTTTATACAACTGCCACTAGGGGTAACTAGAGCCATGGCATTAGCAGGTTTGAAAGGCATGTTATTGATAAAATAATGTATTCGTCAGAAATGGTAAAAACAGAAAAAAATCATTGGATTCTCAACTTTGTGGCAGTCCTGAACCACTCATTCATCAGGAATAATAACCAAATCTTTCTTAAAGTCTTGACATTTCATCAAAACCATTGTATTCTAACCCTGATTGAAAAATAAACAATTCGCAAGAAACAGACTATGTAAAAAAAAAAATCCTGACTGACACAGCAGCAGCCAACAGTCACGAAGTTTGTCGAAACCACAGGAGCTCCAGTATCATGTAAAAGTAACAAAGGTATTCACACACTTTCCTGCTGGAAATGCTGACCGAATAAACTGAGCACTGCTGTGCCATTTTCACATTTTGTTGGCTTAGTTTTCTTATCAGTAGAACTGATAACCGTGCTGCCTGTGGAAGCATGCCAGGGTTTGTGTAACAGTAGGATTATGCCACAGTGGAAGCACATAAAGGACGTATCTAGCCAGACAGAGTAATACTGAACTGTACAATGTACTGTAGTACTGTGCTGTAGGTCAGTGTCCCTAACAATCTGAATAAGAAGTGTTTATATGCCAAGTAGCACCCACATAAGTTAGCATGACAGCATTTTTACCGCATCTAGCTATAAACATTTTAAGTTGAGAGTTTAGGAGTATGAAGAAAAGCTGGGAGATGCAATAAAAATCCAATAATACATCATACTGGAGCCAGAATGACCAATAACTGTACTAACTCTTTTTATTTTCAAGAGCAGATCACATACTACGATGTTTTAAATGTAGATACTGAACCATTTCTGACCTATTTTAACTGTAAATTTGGCTTGTGAGTTGTAATGTTATAAATACCAGTCCAAAGAAGTTTTATGACACTAGTTTGCTAACAAACTAAGTTAGACAGGAAATGTAAAAGGCACACCCACAAATGAAGATAATATTGTTGTACTTTGGCCACACTATAACTAACCAAGTTAAAACCTATTAAGCTGTATTCAAATCCTAGAAGGTCAGGTCGTAATAGTTGATCATTTATAAGCAAACACATCTGGACTACTTTCATTAGACACAGCTTGACTTCTAATTTATGTAAAAGAAATTTAAGTGAAATTCCAAATGTGACACACAATCAGTAATGCCAGCTAGAAGTGCTGTAGCTCGATTCTAAAATCATGTTTACTAAATTAATTATTTTTTTTAAAAAGAACAAACCTGATAATTGGTTTGAAGAGGATCAGCAGAGTCTTGATGAACATGGTGGGATGGACGATGTACAGGGCCTTGATGTTCTTTTTATACCTGAAAACGTAGAGCAGACGTTCCGACATAAAGTGCAGTACAGTGTGGTCTCATTTTGCCCACAGAGGAGTTTCACTTCACTGACTTCATGCAGTGTTTGATGTGTTTCATGTAGATGAAATTCAACTTTTTATGATTAGAATTTTAAGATAAAGGACATTTTTGAGTTTTCTCTGCTTCTAGTCGTGGAGCTCAAAGGGTTAATAAATGTAAAGCACGTTTACTCCATGTATTTAGTTGCTATTTACTATTTACAATTTCAGGGTCAGAAAATTAATCGTCAAAGTGCCTCCACAGTGTATTTTAAAGAGATGTAAGTGAAGAATTGAGGCCAGACTGATATACTTCAGTGAGCTACTATAGATGGATACTAAGTAAGTAGGTGCTGGTGCACATGTGCAGTGATATCATTGAGCTTACTTTCTGTCAAACTCCCTGTACGCGTCTCGTAGCCAGCCGAGAGAAGGTTTGTTTTCACTAGTCAGCCCATGATGGAAATAGATCAGAGTGTAGTCACTTTCCACATACTGATCCAGTGTTCCTTTGAGATACCTGAAAAAAAATAAACACACTTCTTGTCATTTAGGTATGTATAGCCTCCTAATCTTGTCTCAGGTTTAGCAAGGAAGCACATTTTCACACTGATGCGGTGAAGAAGAAAAAAAAATCTGAAAAAAAAACAAAACAAAAAAAAAACAGTTCCCTTCGAGAACTTCTGAGAAACACGTCCGGTTTCAGAGTCATACAAAAGTGTTCCGGTTAGGCAGCAGTCAAAAATGTTGACTAGGTAACCACAAGACTTCTTAATTTCCCACTGGATCACTTGTTACCACCCACAGAGCTGTAAGAGCACACAGTAGACCCACAGACAGCAAAGTGTGTGTGTGTTGACATATTAACAAGTCTAAAGCTCTATTAGCCGATTCTACAGATATGCAACTGATGCACAAAAAAAAACACTTCAAACTAAAAGTTGCCGTCTCAGGAAATCCTACTTCTCCTTAAATGAAAACACACACTCGTCATGTGATGAGATGTCGAGGCAGAGGTTTTAAACCAGCCACTGAGGTTACTTACATCAGCAGTTTGTGATGGTCCAGCTGGTGCTGTGGAGGCATCCTGCAGGCATTAAACACTATCACCTTCCTGCCAAAGTTATCATCGCCTGCAGACAGACAAGGATTCACCGTGATCTACATGAAAACAAATGACTCTCACAAGTAGGACAGTTCAATCTGTGAAAAAACACCATAGAAGCACCAAGAAGTACTGACAACGGATGAACAATTCAGCTTTTAACTTTCTGGACTCGAAAACCAGCTGGCGAATTTGAAACGTACGATATTGTTACAAAATTATAAAAATGACACAGTGGTTGTGCTGTTAACAGAGATATAACTTTATACTGGAGTGAAAAATGGGCCCAAAAATTCGACTGGAGCAAATGAATGCTCAGAAACTGCTTGGAGTTCAGAGTGACAATGTCACAGTGAAGGCAGAACACACACACACACACACAGAGGTTTGTAATTGGAGAACTGACCTGCCACTTCAATGATCTGATGCCTTGCGATGTCATAGAAAGGATGGTCCCAGGGAAGATGGGGGGAGCCAGCGTCGAAGCGCTGGGAAATGTCTGTTTCTGAAACACACCCATACACCAGTACAGAAATTCAGAAAAAACACAGTATCCTAGTAACACAGGATCACATCACTGGGGAGTCCTGAGCTCATTGTCCAAGGGTATGTTTGCCATAGTAATTAACAAATGCCAAACACTATTAGTGTTTGCTGACGTGTGACAGTGTTCCTACTGCATGAAATCAGAACAGAATGAGAGATTTGTGAAAAAAAAGCAGAAATTTAGATATTAGATATTAGAATGGTGTAATCAGAGCTATTGAGCCATTATCCAAAATGAAAAATGTAATTATGAGTGTGAATTTGGATTGAATTTTGATTAACATGCATGCTGAAAGTAGCACATTTATTATCAAATAAAGATTTTTTATATTCACAAGATTCTTTCATTTATTCCGAGATAGCTAAATATTTACATGTAAATAGATTTACTGGAATGACACTGACCACTATGTGAAAGTAAGGTTTGAGATTTGATGTCACATTGGACACAAAAACTTTTCAAGAAGAACATCTGAATGTTTAAAGGACAGTGTACATGTTTGCATAAAATATTCAGAATCAAGTCATCAGGCTGTGCTTGGTTCTCTATATGTGCATGTCTACTTAGAAGCTCCAGAGCTTGCAGTGAGGACATTTTTGGAAGACAGAACAATTTGGCTTTATTTCTCTAATATTTGTGGGTAGAGATCAAGTGTCGACCTCCGAATATCTCTTCATATCATCACTCTACATGTACAAACGTTGCATGCAGGTCTGCGTATAGAAATCCTTCTCACCTGACTTGCTGAGAGTAGACTCATCAGCGGGCCACTGCTGGTCCTCGATGGTGGCCAGCTTCAGTTGTCCTAACTGTGCAGTGGCAGGCTCATCACCCAAATCTACCAGCAGCTCCGAAGACATCACACACACTGCAGATCGGCGCTACACGCACCCTCTCACACACTGCACAGCGACGTCTCAGATACACTCACACATGCACAGAGCAGGAGTCTGCAAAGGACAAGACACTTCAGGTCAGCTGGGTTTGAACACATTTGCACTACAAGCCAAACATCCTGAGTTTTGCAAATGTCAGAATGCTAGAGAATCTGGAGATTAGTCAAAAATAAAAACAACTGGTTGCAGCTTATGCACTAGCATAAAATTTAAGTGGCCAAAAAATTCCTGACTGCATCTTTTGGCGCTGATTAATACATTTTAACCACCTGATTCCTAAAACCGCTCAGTGGGTTTGAAAGGCGTGATATCTTTAATGAAACAAACAACAACACAAAGCGGCAGAACCAAAAACTGTAAAAACAAGAAGATTCATAAAAGTTCAACTTTGCGATGGTCCTCAAACGTATTGTCTATGACTTGCCGTTCAGCTGAAAAACGTAAACGAATCTGAGTTTAAAACTGTGACATTTCACTAAAATCACTTTAAGACATTCCTGAGTTCTCTCTACTTCTATCCACGGTTGTGCTGCTTCCATAAAGGTGCAGGACTTTATATTACAGAGAAAAATGAGCCCAAGGTCAGTAAAAATGTGACAGGAGCAAAAAAAGGCCCACTGACAAATCACCACATCTGATTATTTTTGCTGAGCTGCAACTAAAAGAGGGAATATGATATGTATTAAATGTAAGCAGATTAAATTACATGGCATGCAAAGAGCATGTTACATGGGTGGTTATTATATAAAGTTCAGCTTAGAATAACAAGCTGATCATTTTGGCTTGGATTCCCATGATTAACTGTGGAAGCGTAAACTAATTTTACTGCATTTAAAGGGTGAGTTCATTGGAGGCACTCATGATAACACACCACTGGGGTGAGTGAGAAAATTAGTCTCCTTTTAGGGTCAATTAACCTCAGTGGCACAGAAATGAGATTTTCGAAACTGTGGTTTAGCCTGCATCCAAACTTCTTGTTCAACACACCAACAAAACGGATATAAACGTAGCTATTGGTGAAGACACAGCTGTACAGGGTGGCGGATTTATATAAATAACTGGCATTTTGACTGACGCGAAAAACTCTCCAAGTGACAGCTACCGCGGTTAGTGCGTCGACTGAAAGTGATGCCAACGGACAAGTGTATCGTTGATTATTGACTGGGTACGCAAAACTAAATAACGTCAGCCACAGAGGTAGATGTGGGAAATATCTATAAAATGATACACAAGACATCAAGAGCGGTAGTTACTTAAGTCAGTTAACTTGTCTGCGTTATGTTCCTCAATCACTCTTGTGGCGCAACCGACAGTCGTATGAATATGAGCAGGTTCACACTGGCCTGAGTCTGTTTACAATCAGCTGGTTCAAATGATTTAATATGCTGCAAGTATAAGTGTTTTATGTCAATTTAGAATTTATTTTTGAGGGTTTTTTTTAATAATTGCATAAACTACTGTGACTAGAAATCATCAGAGAAAGAATCAAAAGCAGGAAAAACACAAAAAGCAGGATTTACAGACGTGAGATTGGCCTCACTGAGACCTCACCCACCTACCTGCTGCTCCACCAGACACATCTGATTCATTTCCAGAGAAATTAGCTGCATTTTTGAGCTTTAAGGCAAAGTGAGGTCTTTGGGGAATTAAAACACAACTAAGAACTCTTGAGATGAAACACGGCTTGTCCTCCTGGCCTGCCGAGCTGACTGGTTAAATGGCTGAATTTGTGGTGATCAGCACAGGGCGTGACATGACACTGAATTTGATCCCTTTTAAATCCGGCCTTAGGCTAGATTTTTTAGTTCTGGTGTAGCAGATAAAACAAGTCCATCTAAGATTTAAATATAGTGTGTGCTTCCTCCTCAGTCCTACTCAGCCACGACTTGAACTCCGCACCGCCTCCATGCTCAGCCATCCCACTGAGTCAGATACACATGAAACAGTCCTATTATTTGATGTTATCTTACATTTACATTGTTGGGTATAGCGGATATAATTTAAATATAATGATTTGAAGCATAGATTTGGTCATTTTTCCTCACAGAACAGGTTTTACAAATACATGCCATCCTCCTTGTATAACAGTCACGCTTTTGATGGCGTCTCATGTGTTAATGCTTCATCACACATTTTAAATCTATCACGCAGTGAACACTGAAGCTTGACTTCAGTTCAGCACACAATGATACTGCAAATCAAATCACAACTGCAGTATCTGTTAGAAGAACTGCAGCTGTCTATTTTCCTCAAATCGTTCAGCCAGAGGGTATATTTCATTTACTAGATGAACAGTAAGAACAAAGGAAAAATGTGCATATTATCATGAACTATGTTGATGCTTTGAACTTTTCTGAGATCACAGTTATATGCACTAAGTGGCTGTGCACAGAACAAAGACAAGTTAGCCACTTACAGTCCAGCACCAAGGAAACAACAGACGAGACACCACGAACACTCACACTATGCCAGACTGAACAGTGACCTGAGATGTGCAGCGTAACAAAATCACTGCGAGACAATTTGGTCTCGTCAGAGTGCCACTAAAATCTGTAGCTAGAACGATGCACCCATGCTTTCGAAGCAAGGCAGAGAGGAAACTACACATCCAAACGACGAATGATAACTCATTCCTCTTTGCGGTCGTGCTCCTTTGATGTGATGACTATTGAATGCAAACTACAGCGATGAGTGCAGTTTGCATTCAAATCGCGCCTCCAGCAGCTCCAACAGCAAACTGTAAAACTCAGTGGGCCAGAGCCAGCAGCATAATGGAACTGCTTCAAATTAATGACTGCACGTCTCTTCCTCTTCTCACATATTAACTCTCTCTCCATTTTCTACATACTTCCTCTTTTATCTCCCTACCCCCACTTATTCACCCCGCTCTCTCTTTCACACACACACACACAGGGCCTCTGTTCTCTCTCTGCTATGTGATGTTATGCTGGCTGACAGCATGTTGCTTTAAATAAATATCGCTACTAACCAACAGACACAGTCAGCCTATTGCAGCTGACCAAACACACAAACACAGAGGGAAAAACAACTGTTATCACACAGTCGGCCTGTTTGTCACTAACCAAGAAGCTGTCGGGGAGGACGTTAGGTAGGATTTTAGAAGACGTGGACAGTAACAGGTTCCTCTTTTCTTTTTCTTTCTTTGCATTTTCCTGAACGCAACCCCAATGTTGTCACACAGCAGTTCATGGAGGTCACAGCAGAGAGCCAATGACAAACCACCTGACCGTGAACTCATTTTTTAGACGTGATTCTACAGTAAATGTGTAAAACTGAAACCGTTAAGAACCAGCAGCACATGTGAAGCACAGCATTCCTAGTCCAGACAAAGAGCTATTAAGTTTCTTTGTCACTGCCTCATACAAAGCGCAATTTGATTAATTTTATAATTATGCATAAATTACTTTGATGCAAGTTGCTCGTTCAAGATTTGGTTTAATTATCATTATGCAACACAACATTGCATAACAAAATTACACATGTAGCCTCTTTATGCGGCTCACACAAAAGACAAATTCTTAAAAGAATAAACGACTAAGTAGCCCAATAAAACCAAAACTATTTTCATGGTGATGTGGAGAATGAATTCAGTAATCTCACACTCTTATAGTTTGTTAGTATTCCTTCAGCTACAATCCTGACTCTGTAAAATGGTTTCTGGAGCAAGTACGGAACAAATATAAAAATGTCCCTCACACCAGTAAGTAGGCTTTCTGCTAATCTTATACAGTCAAGAAGTACAAGGCTGTAGTACTTCATTTGTTTCTGTTTTAGGATGATATTGCTGTACAAACACCCCAGAATAATGAAATGTCTTTGAAATTACTTGCAGCTCTAAAAAGCTCCAAAAAATCCAGAGTGACTCCTGAAGTTACACTGCCATCCTCAAGTCCTGTTTTGTACACTCCTCTGGTCTCTAGATGTTCAAATCAGCGTTTGTTGGTTGTTGCTTACTCCAAACCAAAAACTAAAGAAGACCGCCTTCAAAACTTTGGAACTCTCTCCTGCTGGACTTCATATCTAAAAAAAGAAACTCAACTGAGAGGTAAATCAACAACGATATGTGGCAATAACAAAAATTGTTCACCGTTTTTTACCTAAACGTGTCTAATATCACGACTAGAAAATGGTGACAGGATAAAATCCTTTCTTGCTGAACATCTGCACATTGATGTTCCACTGCTGACTGACCTGCTGGCTAAATGCTAGCTAGGTGGCTACAGATCCATGCACAGACAAACTTCTGGTCTCCCACTCAAGTTACTGACAGTTGTGGGACCCAAAATTATTCAGTAAAAATTAAAATTAAATGCTAATGTCAGATTAACCCAAGTTAAAACCAAGTGGTCTTATCTACATAGACTGTTTTCTATGAGTGAAGAGCTTTTAAATTGAAGTTAATCATATTCATTTAATTGCAGGACGCCAAAGCTGTGATTAGTATCTGTTCAATTTCACCCTACAATTGTGTTAGGCATTGTGATTAAATGCTGTAGTTTTTCTTCATCACTGCCTCGGTTAATATGCAGCCTGCAGCTGCGAGTGAAATTTAGGGGTCAGAAAAACACCATTTCAGTGTGAAGTTCAGATTTTTTTTTTGTTGCCTTATTTTGTTCCAAGTTCAATTGTAAACTTGAATGCTGAAGCAGAAAATTAATTTGCAACAATCTGAAAAATTAATTCAATCATTTAGCAAATAAATCTGCTCAGCAGTCACGTGTCAAAAGATCATTCAAGTGACATCTGAGTAAATTCCATCTGATGATGAAGGCCATGTGATGCAGCTCAAAGACCCATAAAGAGCTACTAAGTTGACCTTTAGTTGGGAATGCTGTAGCACTCTATTATTATTTCTGAAACCAAGCATTAATTTGATGCAACACCACAAAAACACATTTGAGAATTGTGTCATTTCTAAAATCAACTTTTTATATGCAAATTTGAAAACCACCAAGCTAAGTCACTTATTTTGACTATCTGGCATGAATTTGAAAAAGATTATAGTCAGGCAACTGCTCAGGCATCCAGTCTGC